ATCCGAGTCGATCAGTGTTTCTGAGGATTTCAACTGCCCGATACAGAGCAGTTTTGTGCTTATTTTGAACTGGTACCGTATTCATGGATATTTCGTTAATAATCTGTGTGCGCACTTGTTCAACAAACATTATTCGGGTAATGAAATCAAGGATGATGACATGTACGGGGCATGTAGCACGCGTGAAAGATGAGAAATCGACACAAACATTTTGATCTTATAAGCTGAGAGAAGTGACCATTTTGAATGTCAGGGCGTAGGTGGAAAAATATTATTAGAATAGACTACGTCGAAGTTTTATGTGACAATAGGGACTATTCATCTGACTCAGGGATCTCTAGCGGGAGTACGTAAATGAACTTTCTGGTTCTGTAAAATGCAGGGGAATTTCTTGACTACGTGAAAGTCTGTTATCTTTTCAATGTTTTTTTTTTCTCCGTGATATTTGTGCCCTTAGTTAAGGCTGTGCTGAGGGATATTTACTATTATTTAAGTTGGCTGTTGCCCGCGTGTTTGACAGGTCTAATCTGGTCAATGTTTTCGACGAACGGGGTGTACATTTCTTTTGTCGGGTCGGCTGACATGTCAGGTCGCTCAAGGTTTCCCCCCCGCCAGCAGAGTAAAACGCACAGACTCTAGATATCGCATTCTCGGTTCCAGCTATTATTTTTGTTCGTGGTCCAGCTTTGTCTTTCCAGCCTGTTTACAAAAGGAAATGGAGCTCTCAGGCAGTCATGTCCTTGGTTAAACATCACGCGACGATGTAACAGAAACTAATTCCGAAGACGTAATTTAAACGACTGGCTGCTAGTCTAAGCGAAATAAAACATTAACCTCGGAGGAAGTTATTGTGCTACATTGAGGATGATCATCTAAGCCTGCTGGCATAATAATAATCTGGAATAGCTCAGTAAGTAAAGTGACTTGCCGTGTACTGGACGGCCAGAGTTCGATTCTCTAAAGATTTCTCTTCGGCGCGTACCGGATTTTTGTCCACACAGCTTTGTGTGGGGCTCTTTCTCAGGAGGTTAGCGTCTGGAGCGTGGATCCGACCAGCTAGATCTATAATGGATGGAAGTTTACCTCTTCAGCCCCATGTGTCATCATGACTTAGTATTTTGACATAGGGACGACTTTACCGTTATCATAAGCAACCTTTTCGTTTTTGTCGCAAAGAAGTTTGTATACATACAGAGGTATCACAAATTGACGATGAATATACAATTACTGATAATGACGTCGTAATTGTGACTAAAACCAAAACTTTTTCATGTCAGAAATCCAAGAAATTGCAAATGATTTTTCGTATCCACAGAAATCAACATCAGACATACAATTTGAGAATGACGTGGCACGTAGTTGTTTAGACATTGTACCCTATTTCCGTTTGTGCATTGTTTTTTTTATAAATTTTCCTCGAAATGAAAGGAAGCACGCGGTAAATGACCTCGCATTTATAACTGACACGTGATTTATCGTTAAATTGTGAAATACCGTTTTTTTTCACGACCTCAGATTTAAACGCACCCAGTACTTGGGCAATTGAAAGACTGTTCAAGTGTTTTTGTGATTCTAAGGCGTGTGCACAGAGGTCTCTGCTTTCCTGCTTTTGTTTAATGTAACCAATTACAACATCGTATTGAACGGCAACCGAGACACATCTGTGAGGAAGGCAATATCTCGGTCACACGGTCGAGATCAGCTGGGTGTTGAATCTAGGGCTTGCCAGGTTCAACGAATTTACGTTCAGAAGAAACTTCGCAGAGTGTAGCGTACGTATTTAATATTTTGTTGAAGAAGAAGTGTAATTTTGTTTCACTTTAAACTTCAATCTGCTGTCCTTTTCTGAAGTATCACGTTTTAGAGTTGCCTACTGCCCCTAAAACATCTACACGGCGCAATATCCCGGAAGACAGTCATCTTCATCGGAATTCCACCAGGATGGAACGCCAATCAAAACAATAATAATAATAAACAGAAGACCCGATTATGTAATGAATCGAGATTCCAAGGCAAAAAAATTGCTTCTAGCGTTTGTCGCCCTTCTCCCACAAGCGTGTCTTCATGGCAGCGTTTCGACCTTTACCATTTCAGTATCTACGAATATGGATTAGATAAATATGTCTTTACCTCTGGAACTCTTTGATCGGTAGTATGAGAGCTTGCGGGAGGGAGTAAAGGGGAGTGAGTACAAATGAGTAGTTGATGTACAGTCCGTTTCATGAAATATAGACGTACTCGCTTCCTGTGCGTAATGCAGACTGTCCAGTAAATGGAGGATCCAGTGATATGCTCTTATTGTTTGTACACCTTGAGATTGTTCAGTTCGTGCTTTGTCGTTGTTGGTCTGTCAGTCTGGCGTTTTCTTGTGCGGATACGAATATACAGTTTGTCGCTATTATGATTCAGAGCTGTATTTTTAATCTGAGTTGCTTCGTTCAGATACAGTCAGGGGTCCCAGGTTTGATTCCTTTTTAATCTTCCTTTACGGCTTTAACTATGCATGTGGTGCCCTGAAGTGAAACTCGTCAGAAAACATCGACTGCATACAAGTTCCTTACGCCCCGTGCTGCGTTCAGACTTCCTTACCCTGTTTGATGGTTTTCTTGTGTCTCTGTCTTTCTGGGTTGTACTTAAGAGCATGTTCTTGGAGTCTGTTAATGCCCGTAATCGTCTGTTCTTCCTGGGAAAGTGATTGTATTTTCTTGTAATCTGCATGGCATTCTATATATAGCCTTTGAAACTCAATTAGTTTGCAACAAAAATATTATTTAGAAACTGTAATTGTAATGGCATAGGAGTTAACGCCATTGGCTCCTTTCTATTTTTGTGGAAGGAAAAACCCACATTTACCTAAAGGCCAGATTCGCTGATTCTGTATTTTGTTACGTATTTATGTGTTGCATTTACAATACACAAAAGGAAGTGAACACGAACGTCATGGCGTCTGGTCTCCACACATCGGTGTTAAATATAGGTGAATGGTAAGCTTAGCGCCTTCTTCTTGTGACCCCATTAGAAAGGATTCTGGGTTGACCTCAGAGCCGGTCTGGACGTGAGAGTTCAGCAAAATAATCTTTGCCGCTTTTGTACGGGCTGTAGCCTTTATTAACTTCGCTGTTCCGGCAATCAACACACAAGAAAGAACTGATTCGATAAGAAATTAATTCCTTCCTAAATAAAAAAATAAACGACGATGAACATGTTGAGTCGAGTCACGTGGTCTAGTTGTTTGAACGGCTAGTACAAAGAGGAATGACTGCGAGTTGGCGGGGGGAGAACGGAACGGGTCGAGATCCTGCCGTCGTGTTCTTGCAGCATGCAGCAGTCCCCCGGCAGCGGTAGCCATTGGAAGTTACGTCGCGTCAGAAAACAACGGAGTTGTGAATTCCGCGCGCTCGTACAATAGTCCATGTGAACAAGTGGTGTAAATGAAACTGACAAGTTTTATATTGTTTGTTCACCAACGAATTTTTTTTTTCAAGTGTTTGCTCCGGTGTGTTTCGAACAAGTTTGATGTTCAGTGCTTTCATATTGCCGCGTGTTGATGTGGTGCTGTGTGTAGGTGGAATTCGGAGTGAAGCCTGTATTACTCACAAGCGAAGAATGGTCCATGACTACTAACCGGATGGTGATGCTGAGTGTATCTGCCTAGCATTAGGGCCGGTCGTTCGTTGTCAGTGAAATTAAGAAGAATCCCGTCACCATTAATGAGTGCAGTTGATTACAGAGAAACGTTTGAACGTACAAATATAATCTTATCGTGAAGTGCTTTAAATGTAATATAAGAAACTTACACAGTTGGTGTTTAAAAGAAGAGAAAGTTTAGATAAAATGATCGTCTTGTGTAACAGATAACCATTGTCTGGTTTGCTAATTAAGAAAACAGTGAACTGCATATAAACAATTACTGGCGCCGCATTAATATCAGTTTTTTAGTCATAGATTCTTTATGCGAAATCAGATGAGTTCCATATGCAGAAATCTCTCTGCACAATTAAGGTACGTTTCTAATCTCTGTGATAAATCCAATCATCGTTATGATTGTTAAAGATAGAAAGTAAATTAGGAGAAAGTTAATACGTCTTTTGCTGCAAGAAACTTATTACAGTACATTTGTATGCTACTGCTGGCTAGCTCCTTGGATGCTGTAATATTTGAGTAATAATACGAAGTGTTACAGGACAATTATTGTTAATATTGTTCTTTGATCGTTCATAAAAACTGAATCATGATTTGCAAGCAACGTCACATTTGCATACACCTTATTTTCTCTTTTAACCGCTAAACAGAATTGACTTGTGGTCGCCTTTTATTGTAATTAATAATGTAATGGCGAAAGCCATACTTTGTTCTGTAATTTGGCAGTGACATTGAATGACAATTTCTGACAATGATAGAAAATAATAGTGGGGTTAATGGTTCTGGAGGTACAGGGCGTAGAAGGTCGACATTCTACGTGGCTTTATCAGAGAATGTGACTTCGAGCAGTGTTACAAACAGTTCGGAAAATAAAGAAACTCTGGAGAAGACAAGTAATACAAAAATGTCTCCGTCAAGGAGATTATCAAATTCAAGTCAAACTCTTACATTAATGGAACCAGAAAAGAGTTCTGCGTCGAGAAGAATATCAACTTCAAAATCGCCATCACAAGTTCTACCATCAAAGTCCCCGACAAAATTATCTCAAGTGTCAGCAAAAATCGGTACAAAGCAGTCACCCGTTAATGCCCCCCAGCCTTTGAAGGCGTGCACAAGAACAATCCAGGGCCCGCAATTATTGAAAGTTGCCCCCCCTCAATCACCCAAATCTCCAAAGAAATCATCATCTTTACTTCAACTCTCAAGTACAAAATCACTCGAATCATCATTGTCGCCACAGAAGACTAGTTCGAGACCTCTTCAGCTTTCTTTGTCTCTTAGGCGAACGCCTTCGACAAGAACGACTGTGGTAGTGACATCTCGTGACAGTCCTAAATCGAGTGTACGGAATGTTTCAGTGGCTGCAAAAGCAACATCCACGGTTTTGAATAAAGTGCCGTCAACGGATAGGCCCAAAAAGATCCCCCTCGTAGTTGTGGATCAACATAACAGTGGCAAGGATGTGAAGACAGCTGACAGACAGGAAGCGAAGCACCAACAACAGCCAACTCGTCAGGCGAACAAAGACGTCGACGAAGACGATGCCAACGATCCCGGTGTTCATTCTGGTGAGTCTGTCCAAGGTAACCTAAAATTTTCATTGGCGAAACGACAAAACTGGATGTTTCAAAGTACTGTAGTACTGAGAAGCGTATGTTTACTGACAGTTTAAACAATGTTACTGAGGGCTCAACCATTAAATGGGGTATACGTACATAATCTCGTTTATAGCATGGAAAGGGTATTCATATTCAAGTGCAGTTTCTATAATTACGCGCCCACATGCTGGTTGGAGCCCACAAAACCCGTGGAAGGACAGAATTATACTCCATTTACCGGGTCTACAATTTATGAGATTTAAGGTGAGAACAGTTAATGTAATAACATGTATTAGTGACTAGAAATATTCGTAGTTCGCTGTTACGAGAGGCACTGAAACTGATTCGCCGGTCACCCACCGGAAGAACGCGCACAATTCCCGCCAACATCAACAGAGCGCTGGCCGACCACGCAATGCAAGCACGACCGCAGCCTCATAAATTGTAGACCCGGTAATTAGCGACAGCTTAATGGCCGAAGTTGGACGTAGGGATTTTTGTCACGATCACTTTCGGAACGCTTCCATGGTTCATCTCGTCTTCCATATAACGAAGTTATTTTCCCCGAGCGTGACGTTATCGTTTAAATTGACGTTCAGCTTCGCGGGTTTTTTTTTGTGTAAATTGAATTATATGAGAAGAAACAGCTTGGGACACTTGATGGACTGATTGAACTGGCTCAGATACGGCCCAGTTGGTGGCGGGATTGGGGGATTGTTAACACGGTAATGGTCATATCCGAGTTAACTATCTGTAACTGTTTCTGACGTAGTTAGTGTATTTAGTTAGATATGGTACATTGTACGTCGTTTGCGCCATTGACTAGAAAGTGTAATCTGTTGCAGTGTGAATCATTTCACACGAATATGTGTTTCCCCATCTTTATCTTTTTTTCCATATTCTAGTTAATTAATTGCCCAGTGTCCCCGTTTTGTGAGTCAACATCAAGTAGATTATCGGGAGTAATGTAAAAGTTAAGGAAATAATTATATTGCATTTCTACTGGTTTTCTTTGGAAAATTTGGCTTCACCGAACGTTACTCCCGTATAGTTAGTACCCGTGCTTCGTATTTGGAAAGTCCCTAGTTCATATCTCGGCCCGGTAGACTGGCTATCCTAAAACTTTTACCTCGGCTGGTGTAGTTCGTTATATTAATTAGATCACACCAGCATCTTTACATATCTTAATTATGCATCAGTCGATGCTTTTGAGTCGGAACTTCTGAAGTAAACCACAAACAAACATGTGGTTGTGTTATTAACCATTTTTCTACATGGGACTGGTGAACTGGGGTTCATTAATGTGTGTGTTTGAAGGTAATTATGGCTTTAAAAGCTTGTTCAGTTGTCTCCCATTGAAAATCGCGTAATTTGGGACATTGTCGTTTATAGTTAATTGGTTGCTAACATTCTTGAGTCTTGAATTTAATCTTGGTTGTTACTGAAAGAAAGATAACAAGTGATGATAAGAGAGGAAATTTGCCATGATAAGTACTCGCCTGAAGACAGAAAGGAGTGTATCCAGCAGCCGAAGTGTACATCTCGGACAGCAGATCGGTAGACATGGCAGACGTCAAAGCTGTCTCGTCCTTTGCGTTGACGAGAAATCCGAAACACGGCGCGCGTCCCAGCGCGAACACCCCCTGATCTTACCCGTTTATTTGAACTTTACACACAGACGTGTTTGTTTAGCGTAGTAACTGAACGCACATTCGGTTTCTTTTGAGATCAGGGTTTTATTCCCATTTGCTTCTCGGTCTTCCAAATGGACATTTCCCAATAGTTTAAACCCTCCTACCCCTCATTCCAGCCACATGATCAGGCCCATGTACTGAACGTTTTTCTTCACAGTGAATTTATTTTTGAAAATTGTCGCGTAATCCTTGAATGTGTTTCGAATTATCTAGCTCTTTTTGGTCTTACTATAAAACGCACTTGCAGTTGGAATGTGACCCATTTTGCAAAGTATTTTTTTCATACCGTCCTCCGGTACTTTTTTATTTATTAAGGACGCTGTCTCAGCAATTTTTTTTCGGAGTTAACATAGAATTTTTGGTCTCTCGGCGGTGAATATGAAGATGGCTGGCTGTCTCCTGGATTTCAACGCCGTGTAGTCTGATTGAAGTTTACCGACGTTTCAGAGGTCCTTGCCTGCATCGTTTTACTTGCATACAAGTTGTAAAGTAAAGTAAAGTAAAGTAAAGTAAAGTAAAGTAAAGTAAAGTAAAGTAAAGTAAAGTAAAGTAAAGTAAAGTAAAGTAAAGTAAAGTAAAGTAAAGTAAAGT